TAGGCCTGAACTGATGCGTATGTCCCGTGGAGGCAACGCTGGTCCTCTGAAATGTGGCAAAGGTACCACATATGAGGGAGGCATGAGAGAACCTGCCATCGCCTACTGGCCGGGAATCATCAAGCCAGGTCGGGACATTTTAGTGGTCTGCAAAAACTCCAGACTACATCCTGCTTCAAACTAAAAAAATAAAAAATAAATAAAATCCTGACCCATCCTTGATCTTGCCACACAGACCTCAGTTTGAGTACATTTATTTTTACCTGTTACTGGTGACCATATTCTAAAGCAGAAAGATGGTGTGGTTGTTGGTGCCAGACAGCTTGCTCTGAGTATTTCATGAACTACTGATCTGCAGGGATTTTCCTACACAGTCATCTGTAGATTTATAAATAATGGTTTAAAAAAAAATTACTTGACTTGACTTTGCTGTTCCTAGGACTGTGCTCTGCCTGCTAGCATCTTGCACTCTGCTGTTATTTGCTGGATTGTCTCAGGGGCATCTTTACACAGCCTGCATCTGGGGTCTTGCCTGGTGTGGTAGAGCCAAGCCGCTATGCTTCTATGGATCTTGTGCTGAGAGTAGGATTTGGGTACTGATAGGATTTTTGTATGTCAGCCACTTCCTCTATTTGCCTGTGGTACATACCGTGCAAGGGCCTGTCATTCCATAATGGTTCCTCCTCTTCATTGTCTCATCCTGGATTGTGGTACTGACACTCACTAATCTCCGCCCTCCTTCCTTCTGCTTAGCATACAGTTTCAGGGTGCTGGACTTGGGATAAAACCCTCCATGCATGGTCAGGAGCTTCCTCGTCTTGATGTCAGTGGCTTTTATCTCCTCTTTTGGCAAGCTTATAATCCCAGCAGGGTACCTGATCACAGGCAGGGAATTGGTGTTGGTAGTCCGTTCTTGTTCTTGTTCTTACCGTTCAGCTGGCTCCTCAGGACTTGCCTGACCCTTTGCAGGTACTTGGTGGTTGCAGCTTTTCTAGTGGCTTCTTTGTGATTCCCATTTGCCTGTGGGATTCCTAGGTACCTGTAGCTATCCTCGATCTCTGCATCGTTGCCTTCTGGTAGTTTGATCCCCTCACTTCTAACAAGCTTCCCTGTCTTTGGCTACGTTCACACTGCAGGCGAAAGCGCATCAAATC